GAAGACTATACTAGGACAAAAGGCTCTCTATCTATCTATCTATCTATCTATCTCTCTCTCTCTCTCTCTCTCTCTCTCTCTCTCTCTCTCTCTCCCCATCCCTCTTTAGACTCAGCCGCTTATAGGATGACGTAGATAATACATATTTCCAGTCAACAGCAGAACAAAGACAACAATGCTGCACATTTAGAACCATCAAACACGGATCAGATACGTAAATTTGCTAATTTTATAGTATACAAAATGTAATTGTTTTATGCCTTATTCACGTTTCAGATCAATAAAACAGATTATAAAACATTCGTACGAATAACAAAGTAATGTTTGGTTGATTGCTTCTTGTTGTTGTTGTTGTTGTTGTTTTTGTTTGTTGTTGTTGTTGTTGCTGCTGCTGCTGTTGTTGTTATTGTTGTTTTTGTTGTTGTTTTTAAGTTATTTAAGTGCCCCAAAACAGCGGGTCTTCAAGCAATGCTGCGTGTGATTGGCGGATGCTCAGGTGTGGTTTGCTCCTTCTTTTCTATAGGCCTGACCTTATCTCTCTTCCTTCTTCTTTTGTGTTTGTTGCTCTCTTGTAATGCCTCTAATCTCCAGCGCTTATGTGACCTTATTGTGTTGCAAGTGCCGTTAAACTCGTACTAAAACTAAAAAGAACTATCGAATGACCAAAATGCGTCTCCTCGTTGAGTTAGAAAGCTAGCGTTAGTTTGTTGGGGGGGATCTTCTGCCACGATTCATCGCAACATGGACATAGTGAAGATCGACGAATGTGCAGAGAGAGAATAGGTCCAACTTATGCTATAATCGTTTCTCTCGTGTTTGTGATCTTTTTAAAAAAAAGTATTTCTTAATGAATCGAATGCTAGCACAACTGTTTGTCTAACATTTCTAGCCTTAACTGAAGATCAAGATGTCTTGAATAATAAAATATGAGTAGAGTAGTGCGTGTTGTGTTGGTGGCCTCAAAGTGAGAGAGAGAGAGAGAGAGAGAGAGAGAGAGAGAGAGAGAGAGAGAGAGAGAGATTATCGTAAAGGACAAAATGTTAATAATAACCTTATGGTATTGTTTATAGTGTGTGTGTTCTTCTTGAAGGAAGATATCACACATATATGTGTGTTATCTCTGAAGTGACAACGTTCATTGTCTGTACATGCATGCAGTTGTCTTTTTACAGATTAAAAAAGAAATTGGAGGAATCATCCAATTTAAATAGAGTAAAAGAAAAAAAATCTCTCCGAAAAGATACTTATTCTGCAAGATAACCTTGTTTGTTTTGTGATTCTTTAGTGAAAGATTTTTTTAAAAGACAGAATTTGAAGGTATTATCAACGAGGGGAAAAATATATCTCCGATGCAATAAAATGTTATCAGCAAGATGACCATGTTTGACTTTGCAGTTGTCAATTTGACAGGTCAAAAACGAATATCCACGGGAACAATAATATAATGTCTCGGATGTAATTGTATGTTATCTGCAAGATAACCTGGTTTGAGTTTGTGGTTCTTTTGTGACAGATTATTTTAAAAAGAAATTGGAGGTATTATCCAAGAGAAAAATAATATCTCCAATGTAATAAAGTGTTATCTGCGAGACGACCATGTCTGGTTTTACAGTTGCCATTTGACGAATCAAATAAGAAATTGAAGGCATTATCCAGGGGAAAAGCTGAAAAAGTTAAATTCATTCAAAAGTATGTCAGTTAAAAGAAATAACACAAAGTATTCAGTGCATATTAATAAGGTGTAAATTAATTGCCATTACAGGCAGGGGTCAGAAGTAGTAATGTCACTAATTTGTTAGAAATGAATACGATAATGAAAAACTGCACATCTTTACAAAACAAACAGAGAAAAAAAATGAAACATTTTAGAAATAAAATGCGCACATAACACACTCACAAGACACACACACACACACACACACACACACACACA